TTGATCTGAACTGGGATGGGATGTTTTCTCAATATTCAATTGCTCTTGTATATAAATCTCTTTCTTATACACATATGTGTGTCCATGGATTTGTTTCTCGACTCTTCCCAGACTAACACAGGTCATTTGACGCATAGGTTGAGAACCTCTGCTATATAGCATTGCTAAGAGTCAGAATTGACTAAGTAGCAATGGGTTTGGCTTTGGGGGGACAAGTGCCATAAAGGTTATGTGTTGGGCTGCTAACAATAAGGTCAGCAATTCCAAGCGGCTAGCCACTGCTCATGAGAAAGGGCTTTCTACTTCCATAAAGAGTTAAAGACTCGGAAACTCAGAGACAGTTCTGCCCTGCCTTCTTGGGCCGCTAGGGGTCGGCACCAACTTGATGGCAGTGAGGTTTTATAGTTATACTTTAAATAATATTGTAAAGCATATGCAAGGGGTCTTCAAAAAGTTCATTTTATTCCATTCTTCCATAAACTTGCCTGATTTGTGGCACATGAGGGACTAGTTTTGCCATCACGACAATACATCTGCTCATGCAGCATCTCAGTACACAAGTTTTGGCAAAAAAACATGTTTCTTTTGCTCCACCTACCTTACTCACCTGACTTTGATACCTGTGACTTATTTTTGTTTCTCGGAAAGAAGAGGTGTGCTGTCAGCCATCCAAATAGATGAGTTTGAAAAATGTTTCCAAGAATGAATAGCAGATTTGACAAATGTATTAACTGTAATGGAGAGTACTTTGAAAGGTAATAAGATTGTTTTGTAAACAAACTTCAAAAAACATTCAGGTGGTCATCAAACAGGAAGAAATGTTTGCAAGCATTAGCCATTAAGAGTTGCAATTCATAATAGCAATGATATCTATCACCTGACCCCAACATTAATAGCAAAGTTTCAAAACCAGAAAGTAACATGTTGTCAACAGTGTGGAAAACCAGAACTCTCATACATGGTTTGCTGATGGGATTGTGAAATGGTGTAATCACTGGAAAGCAATCTGGCGCTTCTTCAAAAAGTTGGGAATGGAAATACCATATAGCCCAGCAATACTGTGCTTGGAATCTATCCTATAGAAATAAGAACTGCAACATGAGTGGGTGTATGCACATCTATGTATATAGTAGCGGTTCTCACTATAGTTAAAGATGAAAAGTGATTTGAGGAAACACTGTATTATGCTTTTATATTTAACATACTGTATTTACTGTGTAAAGATGCTTTAGGGGATGTTTCCACAACATAGGGGTGTGTTCAAGTCCTGAAAAAATTATTTTTATAAGTGTAGTCATTGGGCCTCAGAACAAATTATTTGATTTTCCATGATTTCTTATGGAAAAAAATATGCCCTGTTCTTGAACTAATCAGTGTTCAAACATGACTTTGAAACGAATTAGTTCAACATCCAAGGTATCACTATAGATAGATAGGTTTGATGGAGGATATTTTTATTTGTGTATTTATCTTTGCTGTAAATATGTCCATGGATGTGTTGGCATAAACTAGGCAAAGTTATGAAAAGTTCTTAGACATAAGCAAACACCTTTAGAGAATAGGCTGCTGGGCCTGGGAGCTCAGGACCATAATTTCCAGGAACACCAAGCCCAATTGGCGTCATTACACAGTTCACAAAGGCAGTGCTCTCCGTTCCTACTTTGGTAAGTAGTAACTAGGGTCTCAAAAGTCTGTGAGCAGCCATCTGAGTACAACTGTTGACCTTTCCCTACCCAGAGTGATGAAGATTAAAAGATACGTGAAAACAATTAGTCCAATAGACTAAGAAGCCAAGTAAACATCAGTCACCACAACCCTGAGACCAGAAGAACTAGATGGTGCCTGACCACCAGGTGCTCTGGTAGTGGAATTCCCATTAGAACAGCGGTTCTCAGCCTGTGGGTCGTGACCCCTTTGTGGGTCGAATGACCCTTTCACAGGAGTCGCCCGCCCGATTCATAACAGTAGCAAAATTACAGTTATGAAGTAGCAACGAAGATAATTTTATGGTTCGGGGGGTTCACTACAACATGAACTGTATTATAAAAGGTTGCAGCATTAGGAAGGTTGAGAACAACTGCATTAGAAGGTCTTGGATAGAGTAGGAAGAAAATGTAGAACAAAACTCAACCATGAAAGAGACCAATTACTGGTCAGATAGACCAGTGGTTCTCAACCTTCCTAATGCCACGACCCTTTAATACAGTTTCTCATGTTGTGGTGACCCCCCCCCCAACCATAAAATTATTTTCCTTTCTACTTCATAATTGTAATTTTGCTACTGTTATGAATCATCATGTAAATATCTGATATGCAGGATGTTTTTTCATCGTTACAAGTTGAACATAATTAAACCATAGTGATTAATCACCAAAACTATATAATTATATATTATGAAATATTAATTTCTAATGACATAAATGAAATTTTGTCTTGAAGCATGGTGTAGCATGGGTAAAAACAGTCTTCATGCCAGGCGGATCTGCCCGGAGACGTATAGAAGGGCGGTGTCTTGGTTCCTAAGAACACATCGGAAATATGTGTTTTCAGATGGTCTTAGGCGACCTCTGTGAAAGGGTATTTCGACCCCCAAAGGGGTCACGACCCACAGGTTGAGAACCACTGCTCTAGACTATGGCCCTTAGTTCCCCTTCAGGTCTGGAACTGAACTCATCCGTATGGCTTAATTTTCAGCTAAATAATAGGTCTAATAGGAGAACAATAATAGTAATGAAGTAGGCACATTTTAGAATAATCAGTCTAAGATCAGAGGGCAGCTTTGGCCCAAAGACCAAGTTCAGAAGGAGGAGGACTGGAAGCGGGAAACAGGGAAGAAACAGGTTAGGTGATGATATATGAAGGGATTCCAGTGAATAAGATAAGATGTGTATGAATTATTAAATGTAGAACTGTTGATTTGCTCTCTAGCCTTTTAACTATGTTATACACGAGCGCGCACGTGCACACACGGTGCATAAATAAAACAACCCTCCACCCCCACCAAAAAAAAGTTTATGAGCTATGGATAGTAGTATTCTCATGAATTCTTACCTTATTTCAGTCAGCATGTTGTAGATGTGAGGATTTGTAGGCTGCCTGCAGTCTTCCTCCTACTCTGTGACACCGAAGTGGCTAGTGTAGGAAATGCATCTGTGGAGCACGCCAGGTCCCCTCCTCGGATCTCTGGGTGGGTAACTCTCCTGTGCTTTCCTCAGGCTTTGCCTCGATTGGCAGCATTATACCCATGTCTGTGCATCTCCCATAAAGTTGACAAATGCTGTAAAGACAGTAACATTTTTCGATCAAATCCCTTACAAGTCCCTTGTATATAGTGCTTTATGATTTTTTAAGTGTTAATTTCTTCTATATACCGTATATACTCGAGTGGAAGCCGACCCGAATATCAGCTGAGGCACCTAATTTTACCACAAAAACTGCATCAAAGATGTGCTGAAAAATTCGGCTTATACTCGAGTATATATGGTAAATATTTTAAGCAATTGAAAACAACTATACTTTTAATATAGGTCACACTGTCTAGGAAATTGTAAGGACTACTTATATAGCAGGAAAACCTGTAGAAGGGGTACTTGAAGGCTATGAGGGAAAATCTGAATTGTTTAATAAATAGTGGTGGGGAAATAGACTAGTGATTTGGAGAGAAAGGGCTAGATCCCAGCCTTACTCCTAACACCAAAATATGTTAAAGATTTCAGTGATTTTCAGAAATTAAATCAAGGAAAAAAATAATTGTTTCACTTTTTTTGTAAGATACTCCTGTAGTGGGGAAGGCTTTTAAAGCCTGACACAAAACCCTCAAGTCAAAGGAGCAAAAATTGGGTAATATACATATATTTTATTGTGGCCAAAAAATGCCTTGAAACCGGCCAACTAGAAAACAAAATTACAACTCAATTCTGATTTATAGGGAGCGTGTGAGAGAAAGTAGATCTGCCCCTTTGGGCTTCCAAAGCTATAAAGTCTTTCTGGGAGAAGAAAGCCTCATATTTCTCATATGGAGCAGCTGGTGGTTTCAAACTTATAACCCAGTACATCACCCCAGATAAAGGTAAAGAGGTAAGCTCAGAAGATTATGACAGTGGTTTTTTTTGGGTCTCCCGGGATGATCCTGATTTTCTCAAAGTACCCAAGGTGATCATGGGATTATTAGGAAGGTTTAAAAAAACTGAAAACTACATTGGTGAGACAAAGGCCAAGACAAAGGCCAGGAATGTTGTGCTGGGGAGTTGTGTCCGTCATGTCAGTATGCCTGCTCATTCTTTAAGGTAGCCGGGGCTGTCCTATGAGAATTTTGTTGGGAAATTATCACGTCTACCCTGTATCCCTGATCTTGCCCGTCAGGCTTCTTTGTTCCTAAAGCTGAAAGAGCAATGAGAAGGAACATGAAGTGATTCCCTCGAGGATGTCAAAGCTGCCCCTTTGATGGAGTGAATCACAGAACGCAGAGGATTAGAGAGATGGAAGCACTCCTCAGAAGTATATAGACCTGGGTGGAGGATCCGTGGAGAAAAGTAGCTTCATGTTTTAATATTTTTGTTTAATAAATCTTTCTATAATTTTGTAGCAGTGTATTCGGACTTAACCCTCATACTCCCTCACTCCATGTTGGCAAATAATAAACTAAATTTAAGGCCGTTTTAAAGTTCTAGCATTTTCACTTCTCATAATTCCATGCCATCAGGTCGTTTCTGATCATAGTGACCGTGTGGTACATTAATATTTTGGGTATATGAATAAGATACATAAATATTTTAATCGAGGATCTTGATCCCTTACAAATTCAATTGTAGGATCTGTTTTCTCACCCATAGAGCCCCAAAATCAAGAGTTAATAGAATAAAAAATGGTAAGTGTTTCTACCGTGGCTGATACTCAATCAGGGCCTTGCTCTGGGCCCTGAAGTTTACTGAACCAGTTCTAAAAGGTAACCAAACTTGCTGCCATGGAGCGATGCCCTCTCGAAGCAACCCGATAGGACAGAGTAGAACCGCCCTGTGGGGATAGAATGCTTCGTCTTCTGCTTAGCAGCGGTAGATTTGAACTGCTGACTTCACAGTTAGCAACTTACTGCATAACCCTCTATGCTACCAGGGCTCCTCTAGAAGGTGGAGGGGGAGTAAATGTTCCATCTCATGAGTACCCATGGGCGAAGGGACTTCATGGAACTTTGAACATTTGTCAGTTTTCTTAATGATTCAGAAGGAGATTGGAAAAAACGATGTTTGGGCTGGAATTAGTAATTTTTTTTCCCTCTCTTACAGCACTAAACAAGATTTGTGATGAAATGGAGCCTGGGACAAACTCTTTTCGAGTAGAATTTCCTGATTTTTCTAGTACCATTCTGCAGAAACTGAACCAGCAGCGCCAACAGGGGCAGTTATGTGATGTCTCCATTGTTGTTCAAGGCCACATTTTCCGGGCCCATAAAGCTGTTCTTGCCGCTAGTTCACCCTACTTTTGTGACCAGGTGCTGCTGAAAAACAGCCGGAGAATTGTTTTGCCTGATGTGATGAACCCAAGAGTGTTTGAGAACATTCTCCTGTCTAGCTACACTGGCCGTCTCGTCATGCCTGCTCCAGAAATTGTTAGTTACTTAACAGCAGCAAGCTTCCTCCAGATGTGGCATGTAGTAGACAAGTGTACTGAGGTTTTGGAGGGAAACCCTACAGTCCTCTGTCAGAAGCTCAACCATGGCAGTGACCACCAGTCTCCAAGCAGCAGTAGTTATAATGGTCTGGTGGAGAGCTTTGAGCTGGGCTCCGGGGCCAATACTGATTTCCCCAAAGCCCAGGAATTGCGAGATGGAGAAAACGAAGAGGAAAACACCAAAGATGAGCTGTCTTCTCAGCTTACCGAGCACGAATACCTTCCCAGCAACTCGTCCACAGAGCATGACCGGCTGAGCACGGAGATGGCAAGCCAGGACGGGGACGAGGGGGCCAGTGACAGCGCCGAGTTTCACTACGCCCGACCCATGTACAGCAAGCCCAGCATCATGGCCCATAAACGCTGGATCCACGTGAAGCCTGAGCGCTTGGAACCGCCCTGTGAGGGCATGGACGTGCACGCCACTTATGACGAGCACCAGGTCACGGAGTCCGTCAACACCATGCAGACAGAGCATGCAATCCAGCCTTCAGGCGTGGAGGAGGACTTTCACATCGAGGAAAAAAAGGTGGAAGCAGAGTTTGAGGACCAGGCTGAGGAAGGCAACTACGATGAGCAGGTGGATTTCTATGGCTCTTCCATGGAGGAGTTTTCTGGAGAGAGGTCGGATGGGAATGTAATTGGGCACAGACAGGAGGCTTCCCTAGCACCAGGCTACAGTGAGAATATTGAAATGGTAGCTGGAATTAAAGAAGAAGCTTCCCACTTAGGATTCTCAGCCACTGACAAGCTGTACCCTTGTCAGTGTGGGAAAAGTTTTACTCACAAGAGTCAGAGAGATCGACACATGAGTATGCACCTCGGTCTTCGGCCTTATGGCTGTGGTGTCTGTGGTAAGAAGTTCAAAATGAAGCATCATCTTGTGGGGCACATGAAAATTCACACAGGCATAAAGCCGTATGAGTGTAATATCTGTGCAAAGAGATTCATGTGGAGGGACAGTTTCCACAGGCATGTGACTTCTTGTACCAAGTCCTATGAAGCTGCAAAGGCTGAGCAGAATACGACTGAGGCTAACTAAAAATATAATCTGGCCCTTGAGTGGCGTGCACAAAAATAAACTATGGTAATTATTATGCAAATCTGGGCACAGATGATGTGTGCTACTTGCTATTATGAGAGAAGCTTAAAAAAAGGAAGATATTTCTGAAAGACCAGCTTTAAGCAGGCCAATTTAAAAAATCTAATTCCTCAAATTTTATATGTTCTAGTCCTGGCCTAGAGGAGGTCATGGGGGGCAAGTCAGCCCACTCCCCAACTGGCAGCCTCATGCCAGCGAGGATCCAGGCAAGTGGACTTTGTGCTATAGACACTTGCGCTGGGAACTGGACTCCAGGTCCATTTCCCACCAGTTTCAGGGGGCTGCAGTGTTTGATCACTCGTGATTACAAGGTCGTTAAAATTTTATTTTGCTCTTATAATAGATATTAAGTAATGTGGGTTGGTTTGGGTAGCTTCTTCACTGATTGAAATGCTACTTTTGTAAAAGCTACAAATAATGTGATTCCTAGAATAAGAAAGTGATTAACAGAGCTCTCTTGTCTGTTTTATTCTTTCTAAAGAGTATTTTAACTAAAACTATGGTGATGCTAAGAGGGTGACATTCTAAGTATGAATCAATTTGCGGTACAAGCTTCTATTTCTGTAAGGTGCCACTGTCAAAACGTGTTTCAGACTCTTGAGAAAGCAAATAATTTTTGTATTTTAGTACTAACATTTGGTTTGGACACCTGTATCTAGTAATTCTCTAGGGTGCTCAAGGTTTGCTGTCCCAAATCTTGTTCATTTAATTTCATGTCCAAAATCGTGCAGTCTACACCACGGCTAGTAGACATCTAGTCTGGCTGACTGACTACAGTCCCACTGCCCGCTCCAGCCACGGCCCTGTCGGAGACTGTGGTGCTTCCCAAAGAGGGCAGTCAGTGACACCAGTCGGTCGGAAGGAGCTGGAAGTCAGGGCTAGGGCTTAGCTATGAACATCAGGACTCATGAAGTGCGGCAGTGATGCTACCAACTGTCAAAATAAGACTTGCAGCGTAGCAGAATTTTATGGGTGGCAGGTTATAATTGAGGTGGGGGGAGGGAATTAAGTTTTGGAACTACACCGGTGGGGGGATGCTCTTTTCGAGGGCGTGGTACACTGAGCTAATACTTCCCATTCTTTTGGATGCTGAGATGTTTGAAAGAGAAGGAAGAAAGTCTTAATTTTAGCAAAGTAGTCTACAAATTCATGCTCACAAATTACACATAAAGCTGCATAAATTTACAAGTCCACATAGCTGTCACTACCCAAAAAAGCCAACAAGAAAAGCAGCTACTTGGAGATCTTTTCTGCCAGTCAGTCAGCTGGTGTAGGTTAAAAAGAAAATATAGTTGGAATACTTTTAAGCTGTGTAATATACCTGAAACTATTACCAGGGTAGGACTGGGTGCTACTGTTATATAAACTTTTCCCTCAACATACTGGTCTGTTCTAAATTCTAAATAGAAACTTTTTTTTTTAATAAACAAGTTTTCTTGGATTTGGGGTGAGATTTTGTTTTGAAAGTTTGGCTTTGCTCTAATGGGAGAGACATTGCTGGCAGTGGCCTCTGATCCTCAAGCTACTAACGCCAATGTGTTTACTTGTTGAACTTTGTCTGGAGAGGGCAGAGAGAGTACTTATTTACCAGTTAATTCTTGTCATCGAGATTACAAAACAGGGATCTATTCACTAACACTGTATCATTCTTGATATATAAAAAAAGCACTTTGTATTTAAAACTTTATTATAAATATACACATTATATATATATATATATATATATTGTTTTTTAACCTAGAAACTAGATATTACCTCTTGGTTGTTTGCCATGTTAATAACATCTTAGTGTTGAAACCTCACCAGTTAGCAGTCCTTTCTACGTGTACTAGATGGAAGTGTATAGAGGGGCTGTCCTGTCAAACTCAATTGCTCCTTCTCTCATATGAGAGGCCAGTAGCTTTTAGCCCAGAGCTTAGCTATCGTGTGCGAGGAGAAACTTGAGTTTCTCTCACAGGCTCATACTAAGGCAGTGAAGCCTTTTGTTCAGCCCAAAGTTGAGCACACTGTTTCCATGGTATTAACAAAACATTTTCTCCCCGTTTGGAAGTTTTGATGTGTTATTTCCTCTAAAGATTATATTCAAGAACATTGGGACACATGGGGAGAAGAATCAGAGAAGAAAAAAAAAATTTAATTCTGTAAAACTCACAGTCCTTCAGGACTTTGAAGTCAGCCCAGTACCTTGCCAAGATAAAGAGCTTTTGTTCAGCCTGAAATTAGGGTGCATCCTTGGCCGCTACTTTTGGAAGCCACTTAATGTTTTGTGAAGAGATGAGTATCATTTACTGAAATCCTTACATGTACGTCAGCTACTAAACGGAAAGCTCAATGTGTTGTTCCTCACATCTACTGTTTTAAGGTCTTTGTAGGGGTTTGGGTAAACATTGGGCAGGCTAATTGAATCAACCAGCCCCTGTGAGATACAGTTGGGCATCTGAAATGCTGGTCATGTGCAAAGAGTAGGGGGAGCGGGTTGCCTTAGTTCGATTATTGAAAGTGAATGTTTATAAAACTGTGTTTTTGGATTAGGAGATATACTGCATTACTATCTTTTTTTTTTTTGGCCTCTCATCCTGGGTTGGAGGGAATCTCTTTCCTTAGCCTCAATTCAGCTTTAGAAAATCTTTATCCTTCCAAATCAGTTTGGATAGTTGTGGGTAACATTTTCCAAACGGTCTTTATCAGGGATTATTTCACTGGCCTCCAACCAAGGCATTACCCCTTTCTTTGAATCTTAACTGTGGTTTTTCTCCAATTCCAGAGAGAAAGGGCTTCAAAGCACCACCAGAGGTATTTAGTATTCGGACTTAAATCATACCTTTAATTTTAGACACCCACATTCTAATAGTCCACTTGGTAAAGTGGGTATCCCTCTAATTCAGTAAAGACTGGGTTAGCCTTCCCCTCAAGTGTTGTGTGTGGTTACCCTTAGGCACTCCTGGGTCTCAGCCTATTGAGTCTCCTAGAGTCACCTGCCTGCAGTCGCTTCTTTTGGACATGGCTTTAAAGGAGTCTGCCCAATAAGTGTCCCCTCTGTTCTGGTGGGCATATGCTGAACTCAAGTGACCCCGTGCTAACTCCTAGATAGTGGGCAGAGCTGTCTCACTTCTGTGGTCCCTTCCTATGGAGGCAAGCACATCCCAGCTTGCTGAAGAGGCAAAGCTGCTCTGGAAGAGAAACAGCATTAGCAGTCCTTGTCCTGCACAGACTAGATGTGCCCGAGCCTTCTGGGCGAGAGTGAGAGTGGAGAGGGCTCTCTCATACCTGGTCCAGGTGTTTGCTTGTAAAAGGACTTCCAGAAAGCAAGCAGCAGACACCACCCCACCTCCCTTCAAGCTGTGCCACTCATTTTGTGATCTTTGTTAGGTGACTTACTTTGTTCAGTGAAACCAGGGTTGTTGGGTTTGGGTTTGGGTTTTTTCCCTTCTCTACTTACATATTTAAAGGTACACCTTTCTTATTTCAGATTTCTACTGACAGTGCCCTGTGGGAAGATGCTGGAACACATTTGACAAAATGTGACTTTAAAAGTTTTAAGTTGTGCTTGAAGCCCGTGTCATGTCATTTACTGCTGCCTTTTTATGAGGTTCCCAGTGTTTCTTCCCCAAAATTCCTTTATTTATGCAAGTCAGGTGACTCTTGGGCCACAAAACCATTCGATGATAAACACATTATCATTTGGTGCATATCTTATCGATATTTTGTGAAATGTTATACCTGTGTTGCAAAAGTTGACTAGTTTTGTCTTTATATATTGCTGTCTTCAGTGTACAGCATGGTTTTACTTCATTGAATGTTACTGTTTAATATTTTCTTCTTATAGAAGAGACCACGCCCTTTTGTATGACATGTTTTAATAAATGTTACCTGTCAACTTTGTAAACGTTTTGTTTTTCACTTTGGAAAGATGACCACGTGTCTCTGTTTTCATTCTGGCTTTTGCCACCTGAGAGTAAAGGTGATATTAGGGCCTTTTGTAAACAAATAGCAAACAGCCCGGTCAATCAGGCAGTGAGTTACGTTTTTCTGTGCCAGGTGGTCACTTCATTTGAAACTCCTGCCAGCCACATGGGGCATCAGGTGGGCTGGGTCTTCTGTGTTTGCTCCGTGGGACTCACTCCCCACCCTTTCACTGTGGGCTTTTCTGCAGGAGGCTGGCCTCTGTAGGAGCTGGGCAAACATTGAGGGATGAGCGGAGAGAGAGGTGCAGGGGTTTGCTCTCCTGGCTTCCTCCTACCATGTGGTTGGCAGTGGCTGGGTTGCTCTGCCAAGGACCACAGCTCCTGTCAGGCAGCCTCTGAATTTGGTAACTACACCGCCCCTTACCCTGACTGCCAAGCCCTGAGGTACCTCGCCAACCTCATGGGTTTCCCTCACTGCCCACAGCCTTGTCGAAACTCTCCTCAGTTATGTTGCCCTCGCTGGAGTGTTCTGTCTGGTTCCTGCCAGGACCTTGTCTGGTACTGCAAGTCTCTGCGTTTCACACATAAGCCAGTTGTGATTCAGAGAAGGTAGGTACATTACCAGAGGTCATGGAGCAGCTCCTGGCATGGCATGGCATGGTAGTGCTTGTAATGCCCCATGCTGTTTAGTTGAACCACTGCCTCGCCACCCTTTGCCCTCACCGTACCCATCTCCCTCACTGCCCTGTCCTCCTCCACCCCCAAACAACACAAGAAGATCCTGGAGAAGTAGCTGCAGTGCTCTTAGAAGGGCTGCAGGCACCGCTTGCGCCCCCACATTTCCTAACAGCAGCTCGTTACCAGAGACACTGCTTGTTTTAGATCAAACTTAACCATCTTCCCACACAAACCTTCTGTTCCACTGTTTGTTGTGAGGGTGTTTTTTTCCTTTCCCATTGCTGATTTTGAAGCCAGCTACAGATTGCCTCCGCTAGCTTAGCCGTTCTGTATGGGGAAGAGTTCAAGAAGGACTATTTCTCATTTCTACCCTCTGATCTCTCGGCTGGCTGGGGCAGGGCCTGCAGCTCAGGCTTTTGCACGGTCAGCCCTCCTTACCGCCACTTTCACCCCTGCTAAGGCCCCTGTTCCTGGCTCTCAGCAGTCCAGCAGGTCCACCTAAAGAAGCAGGGACCTGAAGGACACATGCCCCACACTGAGGTGGAGCCCGCTGGGCTCTGAATTATCAAAAGCGCAGTTCTCATCAGGAAGAATGGGTGCGTTGAAGTTGCCCATTTGTATTTGAGCACAGACGTGGAGTGGCATCTGAGGGGTGTTATCCATATGGAGGATATAACACCTAGGCAGTTTATTTTGATTTCCTTGTAGTCCATTCAGGGGCTGCTGCTTCCCACCAAATCGCCAAAGCATTTGAGACCACCATCCCCATGACTGGGCCTCTTGGGGGGAGCTCTGGGATTTGCTCAGTCAATGGAAATGAGGTCAACGTGACCTTACTGTAACCATCTATTACTTGGTGAGTGCTTTTAAGTAGATTCTCAGTACAGGTAAATAACAGAAAAGTTGGTAGTTCGAGTTCGGCAAATAAAGCAGCACACGTGACGTTTTCCCTTATATGAGAAACCAGAAAGGGGGTGGGGTAGGCGAGGGGGCAGGGAGGTCTCATGGCCTCTTCTATTCTGAACTGGTTTGACTAGTTTAAGGCAAAACCAGGTATTTCACTTTAAAATCTTGTACCACTTTTAATTTCTTCCAAACAGATGAGCCAGTGTGCCTTACAAGTAACTTGATGCAATTACAGGAGAGTTGCAGCTGCCCCGTGAGGGCGCAATAAAAACAGGATAATTCATGAGCCGCATTCAAGGTAAATACGGGTTATTAAAAAATGAGTGGCTTTGTACTGGGACTCTAGTGATTATGAGTTTTATTTTTTTTTCCTAATTAAAATAGGAAACCAGTACTAAAGCCATTAAGTTTATTTATAACTTAATATGATGCGAGTTTCTCCCCAGAGGCTACCGGCCGACCTAGTGTCACAGCTAACCTTTGTTGATGGGAGTGAAAAGCCTGCCTGTAGACATGCTCCCATCTTGTCCAGCTGGGGTCAAGGATGCTGGGATAAAATCTCACTTGTTTGGGATCTCTGGAGAGGTCCTCAGGAGCATAGCCCCACTCCCGATGGCTGTGGGAAAGTCAAGCGTGGGCCCCTCCAGCATTCCTACTGGGTCTAGCATTGCTAGACTTTGTAGGCCTTAAACCGGCTGCAGAGTGACCTTGAGTGAAAGAATCTTGTTTTAAAACCTCCCTTCTCTAGGCTGTCATGTGTGAGATACCTTTGTCTAATCTGAAGAATACAAGAGAATTTCCTGGAGAGATTAAAATTTTTTTTTATTATAGTGCTTTATGTTACCCTCTGGGCTCTAAACCTACTCAACCCTCTGGACACCAGAGCAACATTAAAGAGATGGAGGAAGAATTGGATTGAGAGAGTGAAAATAACCATTCTAAGCGACGATTCATTGCATGCTTAATGTATGCCAAGTGCTTGTATTAACTCTTCCTCATAACAGGCCCCGGAGGGAGAATGGATTTCCCCAGGTCATCTCACATAGCACAGCACAAAAGGATCCCTTTTTATCCTGCTGAGGAGAGCTGTCTGAGCCCTCGAGAAGCCTCCTCCATAGGAATGCCTGCACCTGGGGGGTGGGTTCACACAGTTGCCCCTCCTCATCTGGGTACAACTTCAGAGCGCGGCTTCTGGTGCTGGGAAGCACAACCCTTGGCTGGGTACCTTTTTGGTACCTTTAGGTCGTGGTGGACTACCAGGCCCCCTCGGAGTTCTTGCATTCCTGTCCACCAAGGGGAAATAAAAACTGCAGAGATCGTGCCCCAGGCTTGGCATCAGCACCTAACTTTACTTGAGCTCCATGAATTTCAAAAGTACATGGAAAAAATTAACACAGGAGTGGAGAGTCCACAGATGTCCAAACTGGTAGCAAAGTGCCACTATGGTGGCGGTTCTCAACCTGTGGGTCCCGACCCCCTTGGGGGTGGACCAGCCCTTTTACAGGGGTCGCTGCCCGATTCATAACAGTAGCAAAATGACAGTGATGAAGTAGCAATGAAAATAATTTTGTGGTTGGGGGAGGTCACCACAACATGAGGAGCTGTGTTAAACGGTCGCTGCATGAGGAAGGTTGAGAACCACTGCACTATGGTGTACTCCGAGTATGTGCAAGGAGAAGGATCTTGACCCATCTCTACCTTCTTCCGCTTTCAAAAAACCATCAAACTCACTGCCATTGAGTCAATTCCAACTTAGAGCGACTGTGTAGGGCAGGATAGCATTGTCCCTGTGGGTTTCCGTGAGCGTAACTCTTTATAGGAGTAGAAAACCACATCTTTCTCTGTAGAGAGCCTGGTGGTTTGGAATTGGAACTGCTGACCTTGCAATTTGCAGCCCAAAACCAGGACTAGTGCAGTCAGCGGCCGCGTTCCTTGGAAGCTCAGATAATGGTCATAGTATTCCTAGAAGACCCTAAACACCTCCCGCCCGTACCCCATGTCTTGGCAGCAAGGCTCAGGTGTGCAGGCAGTGCCCTCACCTGTACCAAATGCCCACTGTGCTCAGTCAGCATCATTGTAACCACTTTCCGTGGATTACTTAACTCTTCATGTTCAATGCCATTCCTGTCCAGCAGGAGGACATTTGCTTGTGAGGGTTCAGACCTAGGCAGCTTGAGTCCTGGGGACTGGAACTGAGCCACACTCACCCTGTGCTGTCCCGTGACAGCCAGCCCAACAGCTCAGAACACCCAGAGTAAACCCCCTCCCGAGAACCCTGGGTATTAAAATGTTAATGGAACAAATCAAGAGGGGATCCAAAAGCTGAGGGCTTCTGTGGGCCTCTGACCCCACCCCTGCCAAACAAGCCCGCTCTACTCCCCTCAGCCTCTGGGATCAGTATGCACCCCACTTCCTACTCCATACCCTGGTGGTTGTCTCCTCCAAGCTGTTCTCCTTCCTCAGCACATCTCATCCTGTCCCCACCCATAGCCTACCTGATGGGATCTTAATTTAGTCTGGCAGCCAAGGCCCTTCCTGCTCTGACATCGGCCTACTTTTCTTATCTGTTGCTCTCCACTTGGGCCCAGGCTGCTCTCTGCCATTGCATGGAGGTTTCAGAGAGAGTTCTCTCTGCCTTGAATACGCATCCTCTTCCATTCATTCCCATTTTAACCTTCTGGCAAAATTCTTTATGTCGAATTTCATTTCTATTATGCCTTCTCTGAGCAACCCCAAACATTGTTCATGCCACCCCGGTCCCATTTCATTTTGATACAGCTGTCTTGTAGCACTTGCCACTGTATTGTAGTTTCCATATACCATCTATTTTTAACCCCCACTCCCCTCACGTTCCCATGTCCTCTGATAAACAGTGAGCCCCTCATAAGCAAAAACTGTCTTATTCCCATCTGCATGGCCATTTCTGGTATGACCCTGAGCCACAGTAGGAAACACACACACACACACACACAGCTATTGATTCGATTCCAACTCATAGGAAAAAGACACACACACACACACACACACACACAGCTATTGACTCGATTCCAACTCAGCAGCTCTCAATGA